CAGAGGATGTACACTGGTACAGATAAGAACTGGAAACACAGGGAATCCAGGACAGATAAACCCCTCAGGACCAATAATGAGAGTAGCGTTACCAGGGAGGTTGGGTAGAATGGGGGAACCCATCACAAGGATCTACATATAACCCTCTTCACAACAGAAAAGTGGGTGAAGGGAGACGTCAGCCAGTGTAAGACATGACAAAATAATTTATGAATTATCAAGGGTTTGTGAGGGGGGCAGGGGGTGGGGAGGGAGGGGAAAAATGAGCGGATACCAAGGGCTCAAGTAGAAAGAATGTTTTGAGAATAATGATGGCAACAAATGTACAAATGTGCTTGACACAGTGGTTATGTGTATGGATTGTGATAAGAGTTGTACGAGCCCCCAATAAAATGATTTTTAAAAGAAAATGCTGTTTGCAGTTATTAACACCTTATATTACAGTGGCTTTCACGCTTTTGTTAAACATCATCCAGAGTAGTTAAAATATATGTGTGCATGTGTGTGTATAATGACTCCCTACATAAATGTTCTATGTGTACTTTATAAATAAATATACTAGAAAGAAAAATTTCATTAAAAAGTAATCATACTATTTATATCCACCCACAGCCAACTTTGACTGATAGCAGTCTTATATAGAGTTTCCAAGGCTTTCCATCTTTACAGGACCTGACAGGCTTTATCTTGTCCTGTGGAGTAACCAGTGGGTTTGAGCCTCTGACCATGAATGAGGTTAGCAGTCCAACACTTACCTGATAGTGCTATTTATACTACACACAGTGTTAGTGTTCTCTATTTTAGCTCATGTTTCAAAAACACTGATCTTATATTTCAAAATCACTGATTTCATAATTTACAGTTTGAAAAGTAGTGTGAGTTAATTTTTGAAAAGACTTTCTAAAGTCCTACCTCAAAAATGGTTATTTTGACAAGTCAGTTACAATTTATCTATTTTTATTTATAATTTGTTTACTAAAATAATAGAAGTATCTATGAAATTTAAAGTGTCTAAAAACTTTCAACAACTTAGAAATTTCAGAAATGATGTTTACATACTAGATTAGTTCTATGCAGTATAAATATTTATGAACTGTTACTAATATGCCTTTGGCTGCTAACTGCAAGGTCAGTCATTCTGAAAACACCAGTTACTCTGAGGGAGAAAAACAGAGCTTTCTGTTCCCATAAAATAGTTAAGAGTCTCGGAAACTCACAGGGGCAGTTCTAACCTGTCTTATACGGTCACTATGACTTGGCATCAATTCGATGGCAGTGAGTTAATATGCCCACTTTTCAACTTATAATATTAACATAAAAAATAATAACAGTCCACAGATGGAGATAATAACCCTGAATATCAATGGACTGAACTCTGGTATGAAAAGACTGAGGCTAGCAGACTGGCTTAGAAAATACAACCCATCAGTCTGTTGCTTACAGGAGACACATCTCAAGGCTACAGACAAAAAATAGGCTGAGATACAAAGCAAACAGCAATTCAAAAAAAGCAGGAGTTGCAATCCTAATCTCGGATAAAATTGACCTCAAATTGCAAATCATAAAAAGAGATAAGGATGGAACGGTAGACAAAAGAACCACTAAGCATTGTAAACATATATTCCCCGAATGAGAGACCCGCTGAATACGTCAACCAAACACTCCAAAAGATTAAAATCAAAGTCACAGCCTCAACAATTATAGTGGGTGACTTCAATACACCACTCTCTGAAAAAGCGATCACAAGGAAAGAAACTCAACAAGGAGGCTAGAGATATAAACACTACAATTAGACTATTTAATCTGATAGATATTTACAGAGCTTTTCATCCAAATACAAATATATTCACATTCTTTTCAAGCCCGCATGGCACATACTTGAAGATAAACCACATGCTGGAGCATAATGTGAATCTACATCAATTTAAGCACATTGATATCATACAGACCCCTCTCTCTGACCACTGTGCCACATGGCTGAAAATCAACAAAAGGAAGACGAAAATAAGAACAAACAATTAGAGGATGAATAACTTTTGCGAAAGGAGTGCGTACTGGCACAGATCAAAGATGAAATGAGGAAATTTCTAGAAACCAATGAGAATGAGAACACGATGTACCAAACTTATGGGACACAGTAAAGACAGGTATCAGAGGAAGTTTCATATCAATACATGCACACACCTGAAAAAGGAAGAGAGACTCATGATTGATATGCTAGCACAAAATTTACAACAACTAGAGCAGAGTCAGCAGGACAATCCCACTAATAGCAAAAGAAAAGAAGTAATTAAAATCAGGGCTGAGATTCAGGCGAGGGAAAATAAGAAAACTATGGAAAAAATTAATGCTGCTAAAAGTAGGTTCTTTAAAAGGATAAACAGAATCGACAGACCCCTGGCAAACCTAACCACAGAAAGGAGGGAACAAGTTTCAGTAGCAAGAATGAGGGATGAAAGAGGGAACATTACAACTGATACTAATCAAAAGGATAATTGCACAGTACTACGAAGGATTGTACTCCCAATGAATTCAACAACTTGGAAGACATGGACAAATTCTTGGAAAAACAATCCCTCCCTAGACTATCCCCAAAGGACGTCAAGAATCTCAACAGACCCATAGCAATAGAAGAAATAGACAAGGTTATCAAGGAATTACCAACCAAAAAAATCCCCTGGACCAGATGGTTTCACAGGAGAATTCTACCAAGCATTTAGGGAAGAACTAACACCAGTCCTACACAAACTCTTCTAGAACATAGAAAAAAACTGAAAACTCCCAAACTCCTGTGAAGCTAGTATAACTCTGATACCAAAACCAGGCAAGGATCCCACAAGAATCAAGAACTACAGTCCAATCTCCCTAATGAACATCAATGAAAAACTCCTTAACAAAATACTGGCAATAGAATACAAAAGTATATAAAACAAATAATTCACCATGACAAAGTGGGACTCATAACAAGGATGCAGGGATAGTTCAGCCCATGAAAGACCACTATTATCATTCGACACATTGACATGAAAAACTATAAGCACCACATGATGATATCGATAGATGCAGAAAAAGCATTCAACAACATTCAACACCAATTCCTGTTTAAGACACTTGAGAAGATAGGAATGGAAGGAAAATTCTTCAAGACAATATAAGCTATATATGAAAAACCAACAGCAAACACGGTAGTCAATGGAGAAAAGACTAACAATCCCACTGAAAAATGGACCAGACAGGATGCCCCTGGTTCCCACTCTTATTTAACTAAGTCAAAGAAAAGATATCAAAGGTATTCGCCTGGGGAAAGAAGAGGTGAAACTATCGTTATTTGCAGATGATATGATTTTATATATGGACAATCCTGAAAGCTCCACAAGGGGAGTACTGGAAGCAATAGAGGAGTTTGGCAGAGTGGCAGGATACAAGATCAACAAACAAGTCCATCGCACTGCTATCCACATCGGATAAGACCACAGCAGAGGAGATAAAAATGTGGTAGCCTTCACAATAGCCAAGCACAAATTGAAATATAGGGATATAGCTGACTAAAAGAACAAAAGATGTATATGAGGAAAACTACAGAACACTATTACGAGAAACCAAGAGTGACCTTAACAAACGGAAGAATATCCCATGCTTGTGGATTAGAAGACTCAATATAGTAAAGATGTCTGTTCTGCCCAAGGCACTATATAAGTTTAATGCTATCCCGATAAAAATAGCAACATCTTTCTTTAAAGAATGGAAAAACTCCAATTTCATATGGAGAGGGAAGAAGCCCAGAATTAGCAGATAACTCCTCAAGAAGAAAGACACAGTGGGAGGGTTTACTTTACCTGACTTTAGCACATATTATGCAGCCACAGTTGTCAAAACTGCATGGTATTGGCATAATGACAGATACTCAGACCAATGGAAAAGAACTGAAAACCCAGAAATAAAATCATCAGCATACAGACAACTAATCTTTGATAGGGGCCAAAAAAATATCAATGGGAAGCAGATGCCTTATTCAACAAGTGGTGCTGGAAAAAATGGATATCTACCTGCAGAAAAATGAAGCAAGACTCTTATCTCACTCCATGCACAAGAATAAACTCAAGGTAGATCACATACCTTGAAGTAAAACCCCAAACTATTAGGGCCATCAATGAAATTGGGACCAACTTGAGAACTTTGGTACAGGGAATACATAGGCTATTAGAAATAGGGAAGGACACAAACAGGAGGCACAAATCGACAAATGGGATATACTGAAGATAAAACACCTGTGTACATCGAAAGAATTCACCAAGAAAGTAATGAGAGTCCAACACTGGAGACAATGTGGGAATTGCACCTGATCTGATCCCACCACACCAAGGCAAAACATTAAGGGTGTGGAACAGAACAGCATGGGGAATAGTGCAACTAAGTCCCCAGGGAATACCAGAAATAGACTTGGGGCCAGGTCTTGGCACCCCATCAGACTCAACCGGAAAACACTCTTAAAGGTTAACAAACAGTCCTTTAACTAACTAACTAACTAACTAACTAACAAGCTTTTCTTTTTTGTTGTGATATGTTTTTGTTTTTTTGTCATTGGCTTTTTGTTATTTTGTTTTATTTTGTTGTT